AAGGGCAGGGGCTCGAGCCCACTTTGAGGTCTATGTGTGCAGGTGCCTGCTAACCCAACACTAATCTAATATGTATGAGTCCTGCTGCAAAGCCTATGGAACAATATAATGGATCACTGGAAATGTGGCCAAGAAGGAAAGCCAGCTTTAGACCAGGTGGAATTTAGAAAAATAAATGATATGTACCAAATGCTCCACCTGTGCAATAATTCATGTTGCTCAGAAACAGTTTATTGTTCCTCACCTCAGATTAATGTTGGAAAATAACTAGCTGGTTGGCAAGCTAAGGTGAGATAATGCATTTTAAAGTATCATTCGTTCTTTTATATCTTGGCTCCCGAGTCCCTTTACACATTTAAAGAATGCAAGAAGGAAGCCTTTTTCCAGCTTGAAGTCGGGAGAAAAGTGGATATATTTCTACAGAATGACATCCAGATTTGTTTTGTATGACTGTATCTACACTAAAAAGCAATTTAAACTGATATGAATCTACTAACTTGTCCTTTACAAATGTGAGATTTCTATAGATATCTGTCTACAACTTTGTGCTATAAGTGCAATATATATATATGCCATTAATAACGGTGTAATTTAAACCTGGCTGCTAAACCCTTGTTACTGTTACAAGGTATGTATCTTGTATTTTGTAGATTGTGTAACTCGCTGCTGTTAAATACCGTCAAACTATGTGCAATATATACTTTATATACATATGCCATCTTTAATAACTGTAATATATACCGGGCTGCTAAATCCTAAGAACTGCTACAGGATTTGATTTGTTTTTGATCTGTATTTTTGAAAATTATGTAACTTTTTATCCTTTTTTTAGCATATTGTTGTTTATATTATAACTCACTACTTTTTTTAACGCATTTCAGATATGCAACACTAAGCTGTCTTTGGCTCTTTCCTGCTGTAACGCTGCACATTTCCCCTCTGTGGGACTAATAAAGGGATTCTGATTCTGATAAGGAGGTCTGAATAATTCCTAAATGTTGTTTGAACAGCACACATTTCTTTGAAAACCATCACAAGAATACTGTTGAAAAATTAGGACATGTTCCCAGAAACCACTGACTTTGACATGTGCTAACACTGAACTATTGAAATTGTGAAAGATTACATTTCTCACACTAATTACATTATAATTGAGACCTATGTGTCCTTGTTGTAGGTGTTTCAGACTGAACTCAATATCATTATCACACTTTCCTAATAATGAGATGAGAATCAAGGCATAGAGTATACACTTATTCACTGATACAAACTCACTGCAGTGATGTGTATGAGGATGGATGTAACTGATATTAAAGAACAGCCTTTCAACAGGGCTTTCCAATCCCTTTGTGATTCTAACTTCATTGTTTCCTCGCTTCAAATGGGGCGTATAAAAGGAAACAATTCAAAGTCACTGTCTAGGAGAGATTTCCTGATCCTTCTTTAGTGATTTGGCAGATAAAAGGAAACAAGTGGTGGGATTAAATATTCACGAAACCTTAAACGTGGACGCATATGTTTTATTGATTGAGAGCAGAGAACAATGGAGTCTCAGGTTTTTCTACTTTAAAAGCACTCTGAGAGTTAAATCGAACTTATACGCACTCCCAGCCGAAGCAGGGAAAGTGACGGAGTCGTCCCTCCAGAGCCATTCTCCTGCTACGCTACAAAGGCTAAGGTTAACACTTTGCTCGAGAGGCTAATGGAATGCATTGCAGCTCTCCACTTAGGGGCATGTAGCGCTCACCGTCAGGGGAGATATTATGGGGTTTGAAAAATGAATAGTGGGGCAAGGAGACTGTTTGTTTAGGGATCAAAGAGCCAAGACAAAAGAATAGGCGGATGACAAAGAGCCTTGCCAACATGGACGCCGGTTAAGTGTATTCGCTGAATGTCAGATGGAGCATTGTTCTTTAATGGACCTTGCGGGGGGAAGAAGTCGAGGCTTTTGTTTTCAGACCATTAAACGGGGCATAGGTCTACCTGAGCGGCTTCACAGGGGACCGCAAAGATACTAATGGTTACTTTGCGAGGGAAAATCCAAGAGGGGGAGATTCTCAGCAGGGGAATTCCTACAGTTTGGCGGATAAAGCTGCTCCTGAAGTTCTAATCCAACCACAAAGACTGGATGTATATGTTCAGGTCAATACAACAGTGGCGAACCGTCAGGGCCTTCAAGGTATTCAGAGAATACCCTGGAACACTCAGATAGAACAAACAAAAAATCGATTTAATTATATATATAAAATGTAAATACAATTAATAAATGTGTTGATCTGTAATATTACAGTGTAACGTTGATTTGTTTGTCCTTCTCGGACCATGCACTTCACATTTGAGTGTTAGAAAACAAATTCAACCAATCAGATCTTGTTCTGGGTCTCTGGGTAGAATATCCTTCAACCAAGGTATTCAACAAGGCATCCTTGATAGCATGCCCTGGCCCTTACATTGAATGAGAGTATATGTTTGGATTGACAGTTTGATCAACCAATCATATTTTGATTTGAAGCCAATGGGCGGTTCCAGGGTACTCTAGAAGGCCCGCTAGTTCACTGGCTCGAGACAGAGGATCTAGATAAATGACACGAAGCGATTAATTTGCCGTTTTATGGCGTTTAACGTTGAAGTGGCAAGTACAACAGGTGAAGATGAAGTTGTTGCGGAATTGTTGTCAGTACCCTTTTCAAGGCGACAATTCAGTATTAAGACGGACGTTATAACGGCGTGGGGGGGTGTGTGTCTACAGAAGGTCCAGTTGTGATGGACACGGTTCGGCACGGCAATAAAATTGTCCGCTGTTTAAATCAAGATCTCAGCGTCATATGTGCATCATTCCCAAATACTATGCTGAACAGTTTTCAAGTTGAACTGTTGTGGATGGATATAAGTTCTGGTTCTGGTGTGAAGATTCGCCATACATGATCCTGGTATCGAGCATTTCATTGCCAATGCTTGTGTATCCTTGGTTGGTGATGAGAAGCTTGTTTCAACTTAAGCTGTTCCGTGACCAGGCGAATAAGTGCTGCCTTCTTCACCCCGGACCTCAAGAGGGGATTTGGGTCCTGGGTTGAGTCATTAACTGGGCTGGATTGTGAGCTCTCACAGGGCATTGTTCTTGTTAGGGTGCGCCATGCGATGCCAGTTGTTGATTTTGTTTTTAATTTGGTGGGAGTTAGCGGGTATTCCTGTGAGGGCCGATGAGCTCCTGTGATTATTCCTAAATTGCTTCGGTCTGTGGAGCCGGAAGATCGTGATTGGTGTGATCCAAGGGTTTTTCCAGCCTGCTCTTTGTGTGCGCAGAGTCTTTACTCAAGATCCAGGTGTTACTCTCAGCCTGAACTGTGACTAAACATGTCTGATTGTGAGCCGCCCTTTTTGGGGTGTAGTCAGGTTGTGGTCGGATCTTCCTTCATCTGCTTTGAGGGAGGAATAGTTGCGGAGACAAAGGATGATACATATTTGTCTGATTTGTGATATAAGGCTTTGCTGGTTGAAGAATAAGATGGGTAGGTTTACACTTACGGGTTCTTTTTCCAGGAGGATTTGTTATTTAGAAGGCAGGAAGTGAGTTTCAGCTTGATGTGTTGAGTAACTTAGGTGATGATGTTTTGCAAAAGCACTTGTAAGTATTTTTGGGTAAAGAAAACGTATGACCGTGTTGAGGCGCCTGCTTTGATCAATCCAATAATTTAGATCAGGAGTGGGGAACCTTTTTCCTCTCAACGGCCATTTCAATTTTTTCAATATCCTCCGAGGGCCGTACAAATGATTGCCCTCTGCTTAAAAACACTCAAATCACAGCCCATTCATTTGGCCTTTCTTTCATGCTGTGCAAAGAAAAAGCAACCTCTCAATCCAGATATCTAACCATTTGTTCTTAAATGTTGAAGTTAAAAGCATCAATCTGGTGCACTTTGAGAGCAACATTAGGAGATCTATACATCTCTCAACACCCATATGAAACAGAACTGTAAGCAGATCTCTTTTTCTATATGGATATTTTACAAATCACTCCCCTTTTAAACTGTATTCTTGTCTTTTTACTGTCATATAGTATTCTGTACCTGTTTACTTTATTCTCTTATTTTTGTATAGCTATGATCATATAAAGATGTGCCTTTACCTCACTGGTTGTAGAAGCTTCTTATATTCGTTAGCATAGCTAGCTAACCAGATGCTAATAACAAGAAAGTTATTGACTGTATGATCAGTATGACAGATGAACAGATCGCCACTGGGCTTACAACTAAAGACACAGCCACGCAAAAACTGCGGCATGTGTACGGCTCCTTATGGATACTGCAATTTATGAAGTGCCAGAGCGGCGTTGTGGGGCTCTCCGTCAGCACTAAACCCCTGTCAGACGAGGCACACACCACGTGATGACACGTTAGGCTTGTGTTGTGTTCAAGGACCCTGACCTTGGCCAGGAAAAACAAGTACTCGCTTGTTTAATTTTTTTGCGATCTAGATTTATTTTTTCATCTGTTTATAAATTACCTCGAGGGCCGTTCCAAATGGTCTCGCGGGCCGTATACGGCCCGGGGGCCGGAGGTTCCCCACCCCTGCTATAGGGCGACCAGATGGCATTGAGCCCAGAGGAATAGGCTGTAACTCAATATATAGAGACACCCATTTGCTTCAATCTTCACAAGAATCACTCAAGCCATTCTGGAGTGGAATCCGAAACAATATTCAACTAATATGCATCACTGTGGACATCCACTGAATGGAATGTTATATTATTTTTTTCTCTTTTTTGGAGCAAAACTGTCTCAAATATAAATAAAACCTTTGGTGTTAATCTTGTTAAAACAGATGATTCTTGACTTCTCAACGGTTGTGTGTATTATCCTGTAATAGTAATGATATCAGAATAAAGTTTCCCCCTGCTTGCTGCTTAATATATTGTCAATTTATTTTCCTACTCTTTCCTTTACTCGGTTTGATTTCTCTCACATGGCCCCTTCCTCTCTCCCTCTTCCTATCCCCTACAGGTGCGGGAACATCCTCAGCGGGCTTCCAGGGTTCTGCTGGATATTGAGGCTGGTGCCCCAGTTATTCTCATCCCAGAGAGCTCATGCTCGCCGAGGGTCATTGTGGCCAACCTCGGCCAGCTGAGGGTGCAGAACAGCTTCCTGCCGGCAGGGGCTCATGGGACTTTCTCCCTCAGAGACAAGGTAGAGAAACTCACCATGGCCCATGCCTTTTTCCCTTCTCTGGTGAGTCACGCTGCCCGTGCATCCACCCCTGCAGCCCCGGCTGACCTTTCTCTCCCTTGCTTTTCTAATGGAACTGTATTCATTTATGCATTGAATGGTATTACCCACAATTTAACATGCAGGGTTACCAATTTATTTTTCATACCACATACCAGACTCCCTGAAAAGCTCAATGCCCTGCACAGAGAACCTTTTGCCATCTTATCATTTAGTAATAATGTAACTATCTGAATCTGGTCTGCAATGCTCAATGAATACAGCATAGCCTGACTCTTTGCTGTAACGTATGGTCCCATAACTAAACCTTGTCATTGTCTCTAATTGTCATTGTTCATATTTTTCCAAAAAGAGTCCAATATGTTGGCTATCATGTTAGTTTGCATAAAAGGACACTATAAAAGCACATAGCATATAGCACACCAATGGCACGGTTATGAGGAGCCTCCTTTTCAACAGAGGCAGTTCAAGGTTAAGTTCTCCATGTTTCCAATGCAGAATAATTGGCACCCGAGCCCAGCTGGCACAGAGAACTGAGAGCTGCATAGTTTGAAGACTACTCTCTGTGGAAATTAACCGGACATGCGTGTGAGATACTATTTATTATTCACCATACTTTCAATGACTACCTGCTGCCATTATACATTTTGAACGGGTGTCAGGTGTAAGTTGTCATGTCAGACTATCATAAGATAGATCACAGTGAAAAATATTATAAGCAGCCTACTTACTAATTCAAAGTATTAAAGGTGAGTAAAAACTATACCATACATATGCATGATGCTTTTTCAGCAATTTGGAGTTCTATATAATGTGAATCACATTGTTTTCCATTAAACTTCTCAAAGACAAGACAATAATAATGTTGGCACATCTCCAACTTAGTGATGACCCGAAGACCTCGCTGCTACCAGGCTCTAGTCGGTGGAAAAGGAAACTACCCCAACACTAGCTCCAGCAAAGCATACTGTGTTATTGGTGGGAGAAAACTAAACAGATTTTGTATTGGTCTTTCATATGCATCTTGTGTTTTTTGTCAAGAATTGTATACTGCATGCAAGCTCATACAAGGATCCATTCCATTACAAGGTACCTTGCATGCTTTTGGTTTGGGGTGAAAGGGGTTTTCCAAATAACTTACAATTTGTACCACTTACCAGAAACTATCCTAGTACCAAACTTCGGAAAACTGAGAGCATATGTTGATATTTACTTTTGGATCAGATTAAAAAGTTTACACTTCAACTTTGTGGGAGTATTTGGTTTAGAAATATAGTCTTTATTTCTTCTCCTCTGGTGAATCAGTTGCTAATGGTCTGGTGCTGCTTTGGTTGTCAGGGAATATGGTCCAGCTCTGGTTTACTGTTTTGATTTTATGGACATTTCGAGTGCCGCATGAATTGTTTAAAATAATACACCAACTTCCCAAAGGATTTGTTCTTATGAAAGCTTAACATGTGTCTTAAATATTGATCTATTTTTATTAAAAACTCTTGCTTTACTGATATGAGTGGAAGACTACGTATAATGTAAGTTTCTTAGCAGTGCACCCTATTAATGCGGTCATAAAACACAAAGTGAGAAAAGAGAGCTCTGCCTGGCTCCCATGGCGCACCAGCTGTATCAGGATGCTACGCTACAGGAACCTCCAGCATATGCCATGCTCGCTTCACAATACATGGGTGTGAAGTTAACCATTTTTAACAATATAATAATGTGTATGGCAGGCAGCGACAACAAACATTTCAAAATCCTAGTACACCACATCCTTCTCTCTTTTTGGACATCCTTGACTCTGCTCGCATAGAGGAGGCAAATCATTTAATGACAATTTAATAGATGTCAGTGAAATATGAGGTATTGAGCATCAGCTGCCATCGTTTTTAATGCCGCTCTGTCAGAAGAGCATAACAGTGTTTTGTATTTACTTTAAATTCAATTAATTAAACACAAGTAATATTCAGTTGAAATGTCTTCAAAGAATGCAGTTAGAACAGCGCTGCACAAGCGCTCCACCAACTGAAGCTCAGTTTTATTGTGCAGTTGATCTACTACAGTTTATGAAAAGAAAATGAATAGCTAATGTCCTGACATGGGCTGAAATTCCAGATGTGTCAACATCCCCTGGCAATTACTTTCAGAAGTTGGTGTATTGCTGTGATACTTGCTTTTAAAATGACACTGTCTCATGTTTTTGACTTTGCCCTCTTGAGAATGTCGCAGTGTTTGACTCTCTGGACCATAATGTTAAACATGCAAAAATAATAGTTCAAGTAATTCCTTTGTAGAGGTCGTCTCATTTTTAGGTTATAAACAGTGGAAAAGACTAACGGACTTCTGTGTTGAGTTGTATCTTCTGGCTTACAATATATTGGCCCAGTGTCCAGTGTTTCCCCTAGGATGGAGTCATAGCAGCGGTGCTAAGGCACGTGGGCCCAGCATAATCGCGTGGATGTTTTTAATGCGTGCGAAGTGCGCCCCGCCAATTTGTTTCTATGTGTCTGCCAGCACAAGAAAGGCTGTTGAGGCCTAGTACCAGGGCCGGTTCTAGCCAATTTGCTGCCCTCGGCGAGATTTTAGGCGAGATTTTATATATAAAGATTAAATGAAAAATCTCTACGAAAGACAAATACACTACAAAAACAGAAACTTATTGACATAGGTAATATACGTCAAAATGGCTTCAAATGTATTCAGTATTGTATGAACATGTTTTAATTGGGGTGTGGACGTCACCTCCTCTAGGGTGGTCCGGGGGTATGCTTCAATCTGGTGCACTTTGAGCACAGAATTACTAGAGACCTGGGGCCGTATTCATAAAGCATTTTATCTTACCGCTAGGAGTGCTCCTAACTCGCAACAGTTCTTGTTGAGAAAAACAAGCATATCTGCCTTCTCAGGCATACCGGAAAGAAATGTTTGAACATTTTAAAGTAAAATGCTTCAATCTGGTGCACTTTAAGCAGAATTACTAGAGACCTGGGGCCGTATTCACAAAGCATTTTATCTTACCGCTAGGAGTGCTCCTAACTCGCGCTAAAACATTTTACGTAGGAGTTTTTTCTTAAAAGTTATTCACAAAGCCACTGAGACCTACTCATACTAAGGATAAATCACTAAGAGTGAACTAAGAGTGACGCGCCGTTGCTATGGATGACGTCGATTCTCGTGCATGAGTTTAGAAGCGGTCAGTACGGTGATTGGTTGTTCAGAGTAGGCGGTCTCGGTGAAACTCATCCGCAACATCCCACAAACGAGCCCACTAAATCACCGAAAAACAAGGAAATAGCCTAGGCTAGAAATGTATTCCTATCAAATAGTTATGGACAGTGCAGTTAGCAGAATACACGCATGATGACAAGTTTGTGCAGACCACGATAATGACGTTGTATATGCACGTTAAAGAGAGAGAGCAAACAATAAAAATACGTAAATTGCATTAAATCAAGGAGGCAATTAAAAGCACCCTGCAAACTATTATCCAATGAGCATATTTCCAGCACTTAAACACTTTCAATAACAGCCCATACCGCCGTTCAAGTCTCCCTATCATGATGAATGAAAACAATCTGCGTGTTGATGGAATGTACTTTCTTTCTATTGACGAACACGTCCTCATCTTTTGATGGCGCAATTATTTTTATGTGCGTCCCGTCAATAGCACCGACCACACCGGGCATACCTGCATTGCCATGAAGTTGGCTTTGATCCTGTGTAGTTGTTGATTGTCCAAAGGAAACCGGATAAACTGTTGGATGATATGTGGTCTAGAGAGCGCGTTGATGGTTTGGTTTATGGCACGGCTGACTGATGGTTGCGATATTCCTAAATCGTCGGCATTGCGAAGTTGCATTTTCCCTGTTGCTAAATATCGTAGTGTTGCCAAACATTTTATTTCCGGACTAATCGGGTTATTCCTGTTAGTCGGGGATGTTATTGCATCCCGCACTAATTCCACAACAAGTTTGATACCCTCACGATTTAGCCTATATCTCTTGATCAATTCACAGTCTTCCATTGTCTCCAAAACATTTCGTCTCGCAGCCATTTTCAGATTCTTTGTGAATAGGTCTTACTGAGTTAGGAGTCCTCTCGAGGACTTTTAAGCTCTCCTAAACTTAGGTGCTACTTTTAGGCCTAAAATACTTTGTGAATTGCTCTTAGTGAGTTCAGCTAGGAGAGGACTCTTAAAGAGAGACCACTACATACCGGATATACACCTGAACATCAGCAGAGAGACTCTTTAAAGTAGAGAGACTACAATAGCTAGATATACACATGAAGCATCAGGCCCCAGGAAGGACTCCTTTAAAGTAGAGAACTACATACGATATACAACACCTGAAGATCAGCAGGAGGACTCTTTAAAGTAAGACACTACATACCGATATACACAGTGAACATCAGGCAGTAGAAGAAGCTCTTAAAGTAAGAGAACTAAATAAAGTCCTCACAAGAACCCAACGAGTTTTTTATTATCTGCTGCAGAAAGTCATTAAAATCAAAGAAAGCACTTCACCGTCCTCGTGAACGCAGCAGAAAACTAGCCGTCAAATTAAACCTGCACACACACAACAAGCACACTTCACAACACACACACGCACGACGCACGGCACACACCCAACACACAACACACACACACACACACACACACACACACACCACACACCACCACACACACAGCACATACACACACTTGCTCGCATTGATAAGGACAGGCAAGTAAAAAATAACATTGGTATTGTGCACTAATGGAAGAACCTGAGGCTGGAGGCGTCATTTAAAAACAGCTTTCACGCCTTTTATAAGAAGACACAAAAGGCCAGCAGGCTACAACGGAAGTCATGGATGATTTTCAAATTAAGAGCCCGAGGGTTGAGGAATA